CCCTGTTCTTTTCCCATATTAAAAAATAGATGACTTTTATGAACTCACCATTTTATAAAGATTTGGGGATCACAGAATGATTAATATTTTTCTTAACTGATACTTGTGATTATCACTTATTTGTTGAATATTTTAAACCATAAAATCTTTAGCATATAAACCACTAAGAGCATATACTAGCTTTTAATTTTCAAGGAGAAAAGGGAAAAACATAATTTACCAAGAATAAAATTTGCCAACAATTTGACATGGCTTTACATTTTCCAATTCCATCATCAGTAAAACTTGTATTGTTTATGTTTTATTGAATCTCTGCAATTCATGCTATGCTCTAGAGTACGCAAAATGTTTCGATAGAATCACCCTAGAAAGATCGTTCTATCACAATAGTTCACACTGTGAACTGCATGTTTAACGAGCTGCATGTTTAACGTTTGTTAGGAAGGTGGTTGGAGAAGGCAGGGAATTTGGGAAGTAGACACTTACATAGAATCTATATAAATGAGACGAGAATTTTCATTTGTTCTATTTGATAAGCAAGAGTCAAATGCTTTTTCTAATCTCTATAGATCACCAAAGTGCAAACTACATCCAACTCTATCTTGAAACTCCTGTGAAACCCATTTTATAGATGAGAAAACTGAAGCTCAGAGAATTTAGGTAATTTTTATGATTTCATTGTATGGTCAAAATGCTCAAGTCATCACTAACCAGTTTAAGAGAATTTCCCAAAATTTAAATTCAGTAGCATTTTCTTTTCTACCCGTGTATCCGCAAAATAACTCTCTCTTTTGTTTAAAGAAGTATGGTCCCGCTCTAGGACAAATCTCAAACACTTCACCCCCTGTAGCCTCAAAGGACTAATTACATTGTTTATTTCTAGGGAGCTTGGGTCAAAGTTGTTGTCTATGGGGATTTTCCTTCAAACACGCTAATGTAAATTTTAATTAATTGAATGTGTAAAGAAATAATCATGCAAAGTTATGGTAAACTCTCTTACAATATTGTAAAGGAGTTTTGCTTGGTATTACTTGAAGCAGAAAGCCTGTTGATGCAAGAAGCCTTCGGTGTGTTCCACTGTCCACAAGCAGGAACCATACACATTCTCTGAGTACACGTCCTTCAAACTGGCTAGAGGAAGAAGCTTAAGAAATGCAGCGTTGGAACAGGTACACGGGTCAACTTATATCAGCCTCCTCTCTCAGGCATCTTTGTATACCCAAAATTTATTCTTGACTTAGGGATTCTTGAGGAATTAGAGATTTTTGTCTATAAGTACTGTAAGGCATAAAGATTTGCACTATTGAAAAATATTTCTAAATTTCTGTTTATGGATAGATGGTAGAAATGGGAACCATCTAGTAATATATTTAACTATTGGATTCTACATAGATAGGCCGATATTTGAGTCGATAATGTACAGATTGCACCATGAGAAGTTCTGGTTTTCATCTTTTGAGTAGCCAGAAAGTGAACCTAACAACTTTACCTTTGATTAAGGGCTAAAGTATCAAGACTCCAGCTTTTAGAAAATTTGAAGTACTCACTGAAGTGTGATGTAAAGATTAAGTTTTAATTGTAGAGGAATAATTGGTAACTTCTTATATTTGAAAGAACACAAGACAAAGTACTCTACCCCAAATAGACAATTTTAAGGATTTTTTTTATTTCACAATTACGATGCTAGCCATTTAACTAAAAGCTTTTAAAGCTGGCCTATAATCCCAGCAATTACAACAATGTAAAGGCCTCCTTGGGAGACCAAGGCGGGTGGATTACCTGACATCACAGATTTGAAACCGGCCTAAGCCAGAGCAAGACTCCATCTCTAAAAATAGCCGGGAATTGTGGCAGGCAGGTGTCTGTATTCCCAGATACTTAGGAGGCTGAGGCAAGAGAATTGCTTAAGCCCAGGAGTTTGAGGTTGCTGTGAGCTATGATGCCACAGCACTATACCAAGGGTGACAAAGTGAGACTCTGTCTTAAAAAAAAAAAAAAAAAGCCTTTAAGATTTACCAAACTATCTCTTTATAAGAAGAAAAATAACAAAATATTCACATCTCTATCTTTAACACATTAATAAGATTATTTGACAATTATTCAAAAGCAAGATCAAGCAATCCACCCACCTCGGCCTCCCAGAGTGCTAGGAGTACAGGCATCAGCCATTGTCCTGGCCCAAATCAGCATTTTAAAGAAACAAATTAGATGATTCTGATAAAGGTTTTCCATGCCCTTAGGCAAAATTCAATAAGCCTATATTTACCCTTGATTAATAAGGTGTGAAAGTCATTCAAGCATCAAGATGCCAGGAGTGTCTAAAGCGAGAAAAGAGAAACAAACCAAGCAAAGGCAGTGTCAACAGGATGGGAAGGATCTGGCCAGGGGAGGCATGAAAGGGCTAACAAGGCTGGCAGACTAAATACACGCGTTAGCACACACAAATCAATCGGACAGGGAGAAATTCAGAAGACCAAATGCTCCTTGTGGAAGAAGGAACTAGGAAAGGTTCTGAGCAGCTCAGGTTTATGATAAGCTCGGCAGGAGGTTCCATCTTGCAGAAGAGAGATGGGATGGCTTTGACAATTTCACCCTACCAGCTTTAGGATAATATGCAAAATGTATAATAGCGTGAAGGAAATACTTACCGGGGACTGATAAAACAGGTAGGTACTGGGCAGCACCTGGGGCTCAGTGGGTAGGGGGCTGGTCCTATACACTGAGGGTGGCGGGTTCAAACCCGGCCCCAGATAAACTGCAATAAAAAGTAGCCAGGCGTTCTGGCAAGCACCTGTTGTCCCAGCTACTCCAGAGGCTGAGGCAAGAGAATTGCTTAAACCTAAGACTCTGAGGTTGTTGTGTGCTGTGATGCCACAGCACTTGACCAAGGGCGATATAAAGTGAGACTCTGTCTCTAAAAAAAAAAAAAAAAAAAAAAAAAAGAAATCACAAAAGGAAAACCGGGTAGGTACTTAGATGTTATTTTATGGCTGTAACTAGTTAGCGGTTAGAAATTAACCATGATTAATATTTCATCTTTGTATCCAAGCAGCATGCTTCACTTTCTACATGATATAAATGTGGGATACCCTGTGATGGAACTAGAAGGACAAGGTTCAGGAAAGGGGATGCATCTTCTAGGCATGGGGCCATAGCCCCATCTGGGGTGCAGGGCCATAACCCTGCTGCCACTGCTCTGGAGGAGGAACTGAAAGTCTCTTGGATAAGGCCCAATGTAACACACATTCTAAAGGTATTTTCATTATTTCAAGATCAAATCTTTAAAGTATAACAATGTTTATATGTAGAATTTTTATCATTAGTCAACAGATGAAGTACGGTGACAAGTGGAAATCAGTATCAAATCAAATTTATAGTCACAAACTCTCTCATATAAGACCTTAATGGTTTGGCAGTTGAGAGTTCAGGCTCTGAATTCAGACAGCCTAAAGCTGTAATCACTAACCCTATTACTCATTAACATGGGTCCATAACCCCCCTAGCCCTACTCCTGGCCTGATGCCTGTAAGCATTGTATAGTTGCTGAAACTTAACAATGAAATGAATGCCAAGTCTCTGGCGTTTAACTACTCAATAAATTCTAGGTGTTATTACTGTGGGTATCATTATATGATGGCATTCCAAATCCATATCCTTTTTTCCCGTGACAAGTTCAAGTTTCACAGTCATGTTTACTAGTGCCGTGGTCAGACACCAGAGTCAGATAAGCTTAAAACACACATCCTTGCTCTACTTCTCAATTTTAAAAAACCTGCTGGGTTATAGTTTGCGCAATTATAAAGTGGACTATAATGATGGCTAATTGTGTAAATGAAGTCACTGTGCTGATCAATGTGTCACAGCTCTAATTCCTTTCACTGTTTCTCACTTTCTTGAGCAGTAATGTTAGTGCAAAAGCCAAAAAACCATTTCCAACAAGAACAATCTTTAACTGTGTGACATTAGGGAAATTATGCTAGGCTCTACACCACACCCAAGGTTAGGCAGAGATTCAGAATGGTAAAATTTTAAACATGGACGTAGGAATGATATTGTCATTATCTGGAATCATATGACAGATAACCAGCCAACTAAGGAAGATACTCAAGACTTAATAAGTATGTATTCAGATTAACTATTAAAAGAATACTGAATAACAGACTTCAGCGGATATATTTTATAACAGTAGCATTGAGTATTTGACAGCTAAATTTTACAGTTACTTTTGATAATATTTAGCCAGTACTTTGGAAACGACCAGAGTAGCACATTTTTCTTATCTGAAATGATCGTGTTATCCTTCAATAGGGCTCTAGTATCCTTGTATGAGTTTTATTAAGGTGATTTTTTTCATTTGAGAGATATAAGCCCTGGACTAGCAGTAGGAAGCATCATTACTAGCTAGCTATTTCAATCTCACCATCTATTCCTGCCAAAATGGATATAAAGAGAACATGCCCTGAGTGTCTCTCTCATTCACCCTTCAAACCTGGATTCCTGGCCTCAGTTTACAATCTTTAAGGTAGCTTCAGCCACAATTGAGAAAATATCTGTACTCCTCATAGTCACACTGGTAGTCTGGAGCTATAGATGGTCTTGGATTAAATTTTATCAAAACATTCAACTCTTAAATTCTGCCTCTGCCACTTGCTCCCTATTTGATCATAGAGGAGTCACTAATTTCCTCAGTCACCTTTTCCTTCTCTATGAGAATAGTAAATCCTACTTTGAACAGTTAGAAGATATCTCTGCATACGTTATCAATTTCCAATCCATGATTGTGTTCAATACCATCCTTGTTATTCGTTTTTTACTGCTTGCCATCATAATTTGTTTCTTTCTTTGCAAGTGGGTGTCAAGCAGAAATACAGATCAATCTACTCTCAGAATGTAAGGAACAGCGTCAGGTACCGTAGGATTTTATTGACTGGTTAACTGATTGTTAGTAGCTATAGACCAGTTACAAAGGTCTCCTTTGTTTCTCTTGCAGCTAACTGGAGATGAGCCCTGAAAACTGGACTCAGATAACAGAGTTTGTCCTTCTGGGATTCCCCAGTAGCCACATCCTGCAGATCCTGATGTTCTTGGGGTTAATGGCAACCTACGTTACAACAGCCACAGGCAACCTGCTAATTATCGTGCTCTGCTGGATGGACCGTCGCCTGCACACCCAGATGTACTTCTTCCTGAGAAATCTATCCTTCCTGGAGCTGTTACTGGTGTCTGTTGTGGTCCCCAGGATGCTTGTCATCCTGGTCACAGGAGATCAGAGCATCTCATTTGCCGGCTGCATCACCCAGTCCTACCTCTACTTCCTCTTGGGCACCACCGACTTCTTCCTGTTAGCTGTCATGGCTCTGGATCGTTATGTGGCCATCTGCCGACCGCTCCACTATGAGGTCCTCATGAGTGGCCCTGTGTGTTCCCGGCTAGTGCTGGCCTCCTGGCTGGCCGGATTCCTCTGGGTTCTCTGCCCCACCATCCTCATGGCCAGCCTGCCTTTCTGTGGCCCCAACGGTATTGACCACTTCTTTTGTGACAGTTGGCCCTTGCTGAGGCTCTCCTGCGGGGACACCCACCTGCTGGAGCTGGTGGCTTTTGTGCTGTCCACGTCAGTGTTGCTGGGCTCGCTGGCCCTCACCTCGGCATCCTACATCTGCATTCTGGCCACTGTCCTCAGGGCCCCCACGGCAGCCGAGCGCAGGAAGGCCTTCTCCACGTGCACCTCGCATCTGACCGTGGTGGTCATCGTCTACGGCAGCTCCATCTTTCTCTACATCCGCCTGTCGGAGGCTCAGTCCATGCTGCTCAGCAAAGGCGTCTCGGTGCTGAGCTGCATCCTCACCCCGCTCCTGAACCCGTTCATCTTCACTCTCCGCAACGACAAGGTGAAGCAGGCCCTGAGGGAGGCCGTGTGGCCCAGGCCTGTGGCGGAGAGGATACGAGGAGGGTCACGCGGCAAAGGAAATGCTCCTCTTAAGAGGTCAAATGTTCACTGGAAATTTTTTAAACACGGTAGAAGTTTAGAGGGCTCAGGCAACGCCCTGCTCTTTAAACAACAGTCTTCACAAATATCCAAATACAGTGTCGCCTTCACTGCCCTGCCATCTTCCTTGGGCCTCCTGGTTCCGCGGAAGGCTCACCCAACCGGTCAAATTTCAGGCTTCTGGTAAGGACACATTTCCTTTGAAATGGAATCCTGGGATTGGAGAGCATGCATGGTGGCCTTGGGGCAAGGAGGCTGCTCCTCTTCCACTATCCTGTCAGTCTCCCTACCACGTGGCCAAACAATGATAGGGAGATGAAGATTTGGAGCTCAGAGGGGAGACCCTCTGAGGCCTTCTGACCAGACTGGTTATTACCAATGAGATTAACCAGCACCTCTGTGTCGGGAAATCCCATTCCTACTACAGTAATAAATGTCTCTTTGACTCTCATTTGTTAATCCTCTTTATGTGACTAGCAGCCCCTGTAGGCATCTTAGAAAGGAAGAATGCAAGACCACTGAAATATGTGCACAGCTCTAATTTCCAAATTAAATTCTGCCTAGTGGATTCCAGCTTCAGGGGTAATCGTTCAATGGTGCATTTAAGACATACTGTTAAAACTTAATATGTTTTAGGCACTGCCACCTCAGTGAGCATATACACAAGCCACTTTCTCACGTTTCTTTGGCCTCATCGTGTGTAAAATAAAGGGACTGAATCAGGGGTTTTTAATATGCGGGAGAATCATATCTCTTTCAGAATTTCGTAAAATCTGTAACTCCTTTCCTCCAAATAATTCATATATATACACATATATACACACATATATTATTTATTTATTGAGACAGAGTCTCACTTTGTCACCCTCAGTACGGTGCTGTGGCATCATAGCTCAAAGCAACCTCAGACTCTTGGGCTCAAGTGATTCTTTTCCCTCAGCTTCCCAAGTAGCTGGGACTGCAGGCACCCACCCTAATGCCCGGCTATTTTTAGAGACTTGGTCTCACTCTTGCTCAAGCTGATCTCGAACCCATGAGCTCAGGCAATCCACCTGCCTCGGCCTCCCACAGTGCTACGATTACAGGCGTGAACCATACATATACAATTTAGCATAAGATTTCAGGTTGTTTTTGGACTTAAACCCATCCATGGAACCCTAACTTAGATAATTAGAAGTTCTTTTGGGCTCTGGCAATTTATGATTCTATATGATTATATGGAGTTCTGTTCAAACACACTTTCCCAATACATTTCAATACCAAGTACCATCACTAGCATTATATTTCAGTAGTAACACAGATGGATAGACAGATGGATGACAGAAAGATGTGGAGAAGTAGATTGAAGGAGGAATAGAAGTAGAGAGATGGCTGTAGTATCCAACACTGTGTACATTAATGATATACTAGGCAGGCTCTGTTGTATCCTCTGGAAAGACCAATCAACTTCACTATGCCTTATGTAAGCCATTTGCAAAACCAGAAAACACTGTGCACATAGTGAACTCTTAAGCGGCATATGCTAAATGGTATGGAAAGTTAGACTGTTTCCATATCAGTCCACTGTCCCAAATTTTTACCACTTTCAGTATCCACTGGGCCACTTAAGTATGATTTGGGGGGAAGGTAAGTAATGATTTTTGTATGAATAGCAGGATCAAGTTGATAATCTTTTGGCCCTTGCTCTACCAATTTTGCTGTACCAATGCAATCAGGTGGTCCTGGAAAATTACATTCCCTTCCTAACAAAGAATAGGCAGATATATTATTCTCTGTCAAACAACTTCAAAATACTTTCTATATATGACAATAAATCTCTTTAGATGCCTCAGTCTCCTAAATCCCATGGCAAATGAACCCTATTTAAAGTCTTCGTTCAGTTCTGCCCTAACACAGAGTAAAAGACATTTAATTCTTCAGTTATCTTTGGACCTTTCCAGAACTTCTGCCATTCTACTAAGACACATTGATTTTATCGTTCACAAGAACCATTCTGGAGTCGAATGAAAAAATATTTTGCAATCAATAAACCAAAACGTTTAAACTGCCTCCTTGGGCCATGCAGTCAGAAAGCTTTCTACTCCAAAGGTTTCTTTGGAGTGAGACTTTCTGAGACTCACAGCCACAGGGAGAAAGAGAGAAGATAGGAACAGAGGAGATACCCACCAGTTTGGAGTCTTGCAGCATTTTCATGAAGATAATAGTTATGAAATATAGGGCGGGACTGAGAATAAAAAGAATTTTCTATTTCTCTTTAGTGCCCCCTTCACAACCAGGATCTAGGCCTGAGAAGGAAGCAAATGAGGGAAATAATAGGAGAACAAGGGAACACAGGGACAAAGTGAGCAGAGGATGACAGGTGTGTCTTGACAGTCTTTATTGCGCTGCGTCTGGGATATAGTGAGGGAAGCGCCAAAGGCAGGAGGCCTCTTCCTGCTTCCCAATGAGGTCACCTGAAGAGCTATATGTGGTGACATTAAACTCATGAAAGAGAAGCAGGATAGTGAGGCAAAGGCAGGGCCACGCTCCTTGTGGTTTGGGTAGAATCCAAGACCCTAGATGCCCCTGAAGCAGGATGCAGATGAAGCCTGAGAGTTGGTGCATGTCAAGGGTTCTTTGTCCAGGGGTGAAATGATTGAGCCCTAGGGAGTGTGGGGAATCCTTGGCTGAGGATGTATGGAGAAAGGGCAAAAGAATCAATGGGGATTTATATTCCAATCCAGATTTTAGGTGACGTTAATTAGTATGGGAGCATCACCAGCCCTGACCAAAAAGAAAAACCAGACTTTATCATTCACAGCTCTATCATTCATACACATTAGCATCAGGGGTCAGCAGAGTGCTCAGAGATAGAATTACTCTCCTATCCAGTCAACACTCCAGAAAGCAGCCCAGGGCAGCCAGCCAGGGCAGAGATCAACAAGTACTCAGAGGACATTGTACAGGTATAAGGACTTGGCCCTCCTTCACCATCCTGGGTCAGGTAAACTACACACTCATCCAAATGTTAATATTTTAAAACTACTCTAAAAGAGGTCAGGGTTAGAAAAAGGGAGAGGATAAAATCCTAATGAAATAAATTATTTTCTAAAGGAAATTGCCATTTACTTAAGGGACTATTCAGTGATTTTTTTTTTAATTTTTCCCACAAAAGTAAATGTACAAAACTTGTCAAAATTTTTGCTATTTTTTACAATACAGAAGATGACACTTGTGAGGAAAATAATATCACTTATTACAAAATAAAGAAGCTGCATTTATTTGCACATAAGACCCTATAAAAGCAAACATATGACCTTGTTGAAAATTTATGATAAAGAGGACGAGACTCTTTCAAGATCGCATCTCCCTCTTCTCTAACCCTTTATTCTTTGGAGTCTGACCCATGCTTTAGGCACTTATACTAAAATGTTCTTTCTCAGCTGGTTAATATTGTAGGAAGCAAGTATACTTCTACTAATTTACTAAAATATAAGTAATGGACAATGACTTAATGCTAAATGGCAGACAGATGTGCTGAATGTCATGTTCTTGCTATACTATATCCATGAAGGTTATCGTTGAATAAGTAACATTTAATAAGTTAAATAATCAAAACTTTGCATAGTTTTATTTTAAAATGGATTCTTCAGTATGGAGGTGGGATAAGAAGGTACAGGTCCTCTGATACAGGTAAGAATCAATTGATTAACTTGGTGATAGGAGATACAGAAATTGAATCCCCCAGGAAAGGTTAAGATGCTGGGGAAGAATACAGAGATGCTGAGAGAGAGCCATGCCCATCTCTCCATCCTGTCTAAAGCGGAATCAGAGATGCTGGGGGTACTTATGTATTATCTGACACCACTCTCTATTTAGGGACCAGAGGCTGAAAGCCCATCACGGCATCAACTCTGAATCTACACAGATTAAAAGATAGCTGGACTTAAAAGGCCAAGTTTGTGAGCAAGGATGTGAAAATAAAATTCTCACACGCAAGTCTTCTGGGGACCAGTCCCCTCAAGCCAATTCCCCTTTGATTTGGTAACCCACCTCCCCCAATTCCCCATTCTTCAGCTCTCTATGAATCATCTTCTACTCCATCTCCCCACATCCCAATATCCAGTCTTCCTGACTCTCCCAGCCACACTTGGCCTCGGCCATTTTAAAATAGCAATTCTATCCATGATGCCAATCTAACTGATAGACGCTTACAATGAGATATTGACCCTTAAGATGCTATGTTTTAGATACCATCAAGAACTTGGGCTCCAAAGTGATATAGACTTGAGCTGGATTCCAGAAACAAGTTCTTAGTTTTTGTACTTGGTTCTCTTTAAAATCAGGATGATATCCATCTCATAAGAACGCTAAGAGAATTAAAATAAGTAAAAATCACATGATACAATGCCTGATACATCGTAAGTTCTTACCAAATGTTATTTAGATGATGATGATGACGACAACAATGACCTTAGAAACTATGAGGAAGAAAACAATTTGCCCAAGGTGGTTTCCATTCTCTTCATTCAGTCAGTCTCCTAAAAACAGAACTCAGAGTCCTACATTTCTTTCAGTCTCTAGATCCCTCTTGTCTTCAGGAAATTTAAAAATGTTTGAGCTCTTCAAACATAGTTACCAAGAACTGTCCTCAGGAATGAGACACCAGACTTATCACCTCTCTGAATACTGCAGTGGAACATTTGCAGCATGGCTAATGGCACACTTATCTGGTAAAGTGCCCTCTGACCCAAACAGTACTTCCATATAACACTTGATCCTTTTGCTCTTGGAGGCACTTAGGATCGGTTCTATGATATTCATCCCATACTCCAATTGAATAAAAGTTCGGATCATCAGAATTTATTTTAGGTTAAAAAAAATAGAGAAGCAGCAGGCAATGACTTTTGCCTACTTTGTGAGTCCTCCCAAACAGGTTAGGTTGGTCCACTGAAGCAACTTTCAAATTCTCAAGTCCCTGCCTTTGCCAACCTAGGGGTCAGTACTCCAGGCTACTGATAAGGTCCTTTTGCTTCTCCAAAGCTTCTTCATGGCCACGATTACTTCCTTGTTTCTCAAGGTATAGATGGCAGGATTCAGCATGGGGGTGACCATTGTGTATAGCACAGAGACGGCCTTGTCCATGGGGAATGTCCGAAAAGGCCTGGCATAGATATAGATGCAAGGCACAAAGATCAAGGTCACCACAGCAATGTGAGAGGCACAAGTGGACAGGGCCTTGCTGCGGTCCTCCCGCGAGTGGCTCTGGAGCATAATTAGCAGTGCTGTGTAGGATCCCAGCAGCACCAAAAAGCACATCAGGGTCACCAGGCCATTGTTAGATACCATCAGAAGCTCTAAAACAAACGTATCTGTGCAGGCCAATTTGATCAGCTGAGGCACATCACAATAAAAGTTGTCCAGCCTGTTGGGCCCACAGAATGGCAGACGGATAGTCAGTCCAACCTGCACTATGGAATGGATGAAGCCCCCCACCCAGGAGGCCGCCATGAGGAGTCCACAGACTGTCCGATTCATAATCAGCATGTAGCGCAGGGGGTGGGAAATAGCGACATAGCGGTCGTATGCCATGACAGTGAGCAGGAAGATCTTGATGCCACCAATGAAGTGGAAGAAGAAGAGCTGAGTCAGGCAGCCACCAAAGGAAATGGTAGGGTTGCCCGAGAGCAAGTCAACCAGCATCCTAGGTGCCGTGATGGAAGAGTAGCAGAAGTCCAGGAATGAAAGGTTGCCCAAGAGAAAATACATGGTTGTGTGCAGATGTGGGTCGGACGTCACTATGGCCACAATAAGGAGATTTCCAGTTACAGTCGTAAGATACACAACAGAGAAGACAAGGAAGAAGGAAAACCGGAGCTCCCATACCTGAGAGAGCCCCAGGAGAACAAATCCTGTCACCTGGGAATGGTTTGTTGGATTCATCTAGTTGGTATGACTTGGCATATGAACCTGCTAAGACAGATGGACATATTTATTAGGGGATCTGTCACCCTCTCTAAAATAATTTTCTCCGTCCCCTCTGGGGGGAATTCTCCACTATTTAATTTACCATAGGAAGAATGTCATAAGTGGTTGGTTCTACAGGACACCTAGCATTTGGATATCATATATTGGTATAATTAAACACCAAGGGCATAAAACTGAGTGTAGCACTGATATTATGCCTGATTTATGACAATCAAAAATAATCAAAAATTGGAAAGTGGGAAAGAAATCAGATGATTGCTGCAACAAAGTATTAAGCAATAATAATAATAGTAAAGCAAAGAAAGTAACATTCGCACTGTGAAATAAGAGTATGTCTATTATAGAATGCTTTGACTCTTGATTCTTTTCTGAATGTATTTATCTTCATTCATTCTCTACGAGGTTTTTGTTTCTAGTCCTTATCTTAAACGTGTTATTGTTGTTCAATTTTAAGCCTCTTTAATTTTGTGAAGGCAAGAAGTGGAAACCTGATAAACACATGTATATGTAAAAATAAAAAAATAAAATTGGAAAGTGGGATATAGATGAGAGTTGCTAAACTAAAGACGAATTTCAATTCTACCAGTAACCAGTTGTGCAAATCGGAAGAAACCGCTGAAATTCTTTAAGACTCGCTTCCCTCACCTCTGACATAAAATTAACGAAGGTGTCCTCAAAGTCTCCTGTAGTTTAATATTTTATGCTATATGTTGCCTTAACTTAGAAAATCTGATAAATCCCCACATGCCAGACACTTAGAAGGTGTTTCTACCATGTGATATATCTCTCATTTTTATCCCCAAACAAGAGAAAGTGCAATTTGCCGATCATAACCCCGGATAAATATTCAGTAGCCTTCTGAGATTGCTCTACCCCGGGTATATATTTTGAGCCTAAGAAAGATGCTAAAGTGATGACTAAGGGAATAAAACTGAGAAGAGACTGCTCCCGTGTTTTAAGAGGGTAATGAAGAACTACCATTCTCTCCAAATGAGATAAGAAAACATGAACGAAACGTTTCCTATCTTGTGGCCCGGAGGAAATTCAGGGGAGTGCAATTAGAAAATTGAACCACTACAGAAGAATTTACGTGTCAATGTTCATTTCAGGAACAACACCCAGAAAATAATTTCTTACTCATAGAGGAAGCAGCAAGAGGAAGTGATAAATACTAATTGCAATTTCAAAATCACCATTGAAAGGCAGAGCTGATTCAACATGTAGGAGCGCTGAAAATAAAAGGGATGTTTTTATACATTTAAGCATTTAAAAATATACTAAGAAAGCTGACTATTTAAACAAATTCTAGACTGAATCCCTCCAGATCCTTTAATAGACATGGGGTTGTTTCAATTTAACTTAGTTTTGATATGGATTTTCAACTGTATTTTTTCCCCTGTGTTTAGTTATTCATTCAGTAGGCATTCACAAGCATCCTTATACTTACTAGGCACCATGCTAAATGCTGAGGTGTTAAGAGGAATAGGAAATAAATGATTTAATGCAACTCTAAGTGTGTAACATTCTGCATAGGACCTTCACCTTCCAACCCCTGCCCACCTGAGCAGTTTCCTCATATCATATACATAGCTTCTCTCATTCCTATACTATGATCTGGAGCAAACCAAACTACTTGGAGCTCTCAGAACTTGTCATGCTCAATCCACGCTCCCTTAATTTCCTTGATTAATCTCTATGTATGTATTTGGGTTTATTTTTAGTAACACATTTCAAATACACAAATAATTTGGAATTTTTAGCTTCAGTTTCAATATCTAAAGACTTTGAAAGTCAATACTTATAGCCTTAAAAGAAGAAAAAGCAAAAATGAACAAACTGAAAGTCAACGACTTTTCTTAGACCAATCAGAGAAATGAAATCAAAGGGCAAATCGTGATCTGAAAACCTAGAGAGAAATCTAACAAAAAGTGAACAAGATTTATATGAGAGAAACTGTAAAACTCTTGTAAAAGAACTTTAAAAACTAAATAAATGGAAAGATATTCTACATTTATGGACAAGAAATCCTGATATTGGGCAACACCTATGGCTCAGTGAGTAGGGCGCTGGCCCCATATACTGAGGGTGGCAAGTTCAAACTCAACCCTGGCCAAACTGCAACAACAAAATAGCCAGGCATGTGGCAGGCACCTATTATCCCAGTTACTTGGGAGGCTGAGACAAGAGAATCACCTAAGCCCAAGAGCTGGAGGTTGCTGTGAGCTGTGACAGCACAACACTCTACAGAGGGCGATAAAATGAGACTCTATCTCAAAAAAAAAAAAAAAAAAAAAGAAACCCTGATATTATCAAAATGTCCATTGTTCCCAGCATTACCTAGAGATTCAGCACAATACTAATCATAAACCCTAGCATTTTTTGTGGCTATCATAAAAATGATTCTAAAGTTTCTATGGTGAAGTAAATAATGTAGAATTGTCAATACAATATTGAAAAGAAGAACGGAGCCAGAGGACTGACACTGCCCAAGTTCAAGACTTACTATAAAGCTACAGTAATCAAGACAGCATAGTAGTAGCAAAGATGAAAGATCAAAGTTACAGAACAGGGAGCTCATAAATCAATCCCCAGAAATACAGCCAAGTCATCTTTGACAGAGGAGCATAGCCAATACAATGGAGTAAATAGAGACTTTTCAATAAATGGTGCTGGAATGGAACACTCAGAATGGATTAGATTATAGAGACTTCACCACCAGTCTGTTGTAACTGACAGATCAAACAAAGAGAAAACCATTAAAATATTGTGGACCTGAACAGCACAATCAGTCAACCTGGTCTAATTAATATTTATATAATATTCCAGTGAATAACAGCAAGTAAATAATCTTCTCAAGGTCACATGAAATTTTCTCTAAGATAAACCACATTGTGGACCAGAAAATACACCTTAACAAACTTAAAAGGGTAGAAATCATACAATGTATTCTTCAGACCATAGTGGAATTAAATTAGAAATCAGTAAGATAAAGATAGCTAGAAAATGGATAAATATTTGAAATTTAAATAACATGTTTCTAAATAACATATGAGTCAAAGAAGAAATCACAGAAGAAATTTAATTTTTTACGTAAGTAACTAATTAGAAAGGAAGTATAATGTCAAAATTTGTGGACTGCAGCAAAAGCAATGTTTAGGAGAAAATGTATGCCAAATACATATATTTGAAAAGAAAGATTTAAATTAATAATCCAAGTTTCCACATTAGAAAAATAGAGAAAGAATCATAGTTTAAGCCTAAAGATGCAGATGAAAAGAAATAATAGAAATTATAGTAGAAATTAATAAAACTAAAATTAAGAAACCAATGTAGAAAATCAATGAAACCATGGCTGGTTCTTTGAAAATATTAACAACTGATGAACTTGTAGCCAGGATAATCAATAATAAAGGGAAATTCCACAAAAAATATCAATATCAGATGCAGGAAGGGTTATCTTGTAGTTCTTTTGTGGATATTAACAAGCTGATCCTACTATTTAGACAATACAAAGGAAATAGTACTACTGGGAATAAATTTATACCTATAAATTTGATGAATTACATGAAATGAATCAATTTCTTAAAAGATAAAAACTAACACAAAAGTAAATGAACAACTTAAATAGGCGCAAACCTATTTAAAACATCAAATCAATAATTAATAATCTCCAAGAGAAAAATCTTGCTCAATTTTTATGGCTAAAAATCCTTCCTAAATTCTTAAGCAGTTAAGGAAGAAATGATACTAATTCTCTACAATATTTTCCCAAAGCAGAGCAAAAGGAACACATCCTACCTATTCTATCCTATAAGACCAGCTCTACCCCAATATTAAATTCAGATAAAAACATTACAAGAAAAAAAATACATAGGCCAATAGCTCCCATGAACATAGATGCAAAATTGCTCAACAAAAAATTACCAAATTGAATCCAATGAGGTATAAGAAATCTCACAACCAAGTGAAATTTAGTCCAGATACACTCAGCTGGTTCAACTTTCAAAAATTAATAATTGTAATTTACCACATCCACAGACCCAAGAAGACCCAATTGATAACAAAACCACATTTGGCAAAATCCAACACGAATCCGTAACAAAAACTCTTACCAAACAAGGAGTAGAGGGGATCCTTCTCAACTTGATAAAGAACATTTATAAATGGAACTTTACCCTGGGTGTAAGAACAATGTAACCTAAATATTGTACCCTCATATTAATTTGAATAAAGTAAAATATATTTACAAAAAACCTATGGCTAACATCACACTTAATGGTAAGAACATGAATGCTTTTTCCCCCCATAACATCAGAAAAAAAGTAAGGATGTCTACTCTCACCATTCCCCTTAAACATTGTTCTGGATGCCTTATCCAGGACAATAAAACAGGAAAAGAAAGTAAAAGGTATGCAGAATGGAAAGAAAAAAATAAACAGTATTTGTTTACAGTCGACGTGTTTATGTTTGTTTACAATTCCAAAGAAGCAGGAACAACAAAGAAACAAAAACAAAAACCTGAAACTATCAAACTATTACAGCAAGGCTGCAACACATAGATTGATATAAGAAAATCATACCCCAGAAATGAACAATTGGCATTTTGACGTCACAAATAATATCATTTGCAATAGTACAAAACCAGAAGTATTTGGGTATAAATTTCATAAAGTAGGTATAGGATCTATCTGTGGAAAGCAACAACATTCTGATGAAGAAATTAAAGAGCTTCATAAATGGAAGGATATTCTGCGTCCACAGATTGGAAGATTCGATATTGTTAAGATGTTCTTCCTAATTTGATCTATGGATGCAACACGATCTCAACGCCAGCGTTGTTGTAGATATTAATAAGCTGATCCTAAAATTTATCGGAAAAGGCAAAAGGCCTTTCCAACACAAATATTGCCTGTTCTCACTTACATGTGAAATCTAAAACAATGGAGCTCATTGAA